GAATGTTTCAAGGCACTTCTCAGCACCAGGGCGGTCTTCAGCGAGCAAGACCGCGTCATCTGCGTACTCAATGTCGTTGATGATTGCGGCAGTAGACTGGCGAGCGGGCTTTGAGAAAAGGTTGCCATTGATGCTAAATTGGATGGGGATGCCAGGTGGATGGTCGCTGTCCTGCATCACTTGTGCCCACCGCTCAAGCACAACACCGAAGTACAGATTAAAAAGTACTGGGGCCATCACACAGCCTTGACGGAGGCCATTGTTGACCGCAAACGGCTCGGTAGTGCTGGCACCGACGCGCACAGCTGCCTGCATGCTCTCGTGGAACGATTGGATTAGATTGAGGAGCCCTTCAGGAATGCCTAACCTCCCCAATGCTAGCCAGAGTGCTTGGCGTGGTACGGAATCATATGCTTTCTTCAGGTCTACGAAGACACAGAACAGCTTCTGACGGTGCTCGTACGATTTCTCGATGAGCTGGCGAATGGAAAAGATGGCATCAGCGCAGCCGCGACCAGGGCGAAAGCCACACTGGGATTCTGGAAGTTCTTGTTCCGCGACAAGTTGGAGACGGTCCTGAATGAGACGGCCACAAACCTTGCCAGCGACATCTAGGAGGGCAATGCCGCGCCAGTTGTTGCAGTTGGTCAAGTCACCCTTTTTGGGAATCGGGACGAGTTGGGCATCCCGCCAATCCTGGGGAACCGTTCCGTTGGTCCATGCAGTGTGAATAACATCAAGCAGAGCCTCAAGCAATGGTGTACCACCAGCTTTAAGCAGTTCAGGTGCAATTCCAGATGAGCCAGGAGCCTTGCAATTAGCCAGCTGGCGTATAGCCATAGTGAGGTCCTCTAGCGAGGGAAGTTGGCCGAGTGACTCATCAACTTCACGCTGCTCAATGTGGTCAAAGATGGTAGCATCGAAGGTGCTGCGAACGTTCAATAGACGGGCAAAATGCTGCAGCCAGCATTTCTCTTGCCCCTCCTGGGAGCTACAGATAACTCCGTCACTGTCACGGATGGATGGGATGGAGATAGGTGATAATCCCGAATAGCACTTCTGTATATCACGGATTGCAGACCATGCGTGCTTGCCACTAAACCGACTTGACTCAACCACATTAGCTTTACGTCCAATCCACTCACTCTTTGCGTTACGCACGGCAGTTCTGCACTTGCCACGAGCCTCGACAAAGCGACGCCTGTCAGCGTCAGAACCAGAGGCGAGCCATTTGCGATGTAAGGCATTGCGGCTATCCAGCATAGGTGCAAGAACATCAGCACACGCTTCAAACCAATCAGGCTGGCGACGACGTGGACGGCCAAGATGCTTCTCAGCGCTGGTGACGATAGCAGATTTGACGGCAGACCATTTGTCCTCAACGCAGCCATCATGATTCCAGGATCGTAACTCTGACGCAACAGACGTCGCATATTGTTCACGAGTTTTACAGGTTGCAGCTCTCTGCGCTTCCGTCATGCAGGAGTGTTTGACAAGTTGTTGCACATCAAACTTGACAGGTCTTTTTGCACGCTTGTGGCAAGCAGATGAGCGGATGCGGTATGTGAGACACACAAGGTTGTGATCTGTACTACACTCAGCTCCCCTGATGACATGGCAATCCATGCAGTTGGACAGGTCTTGTTCCCGGACCATTGCATAGTCGATGCAGTGCCACCGCTTCGAGCGGGGATGTTGCCAGGTACACTTGTGGATGTTACGTTTCATGAACCAGGTGTTGCACACAGTAAGGCTGTTGCACGCTAAAAACTGGAGAAGCTCAGCGCCAGCCTCATTGACAGTGCCAACACCATGTGGGCCACGTGTTCCATACCAGCCATCGTCACAGATTTCAGCTCCAACTCTAGCGTTGAAGTCTCCCAAGATTATCAAGGAGTCCTGGGTGGGTACGGACAGAATAACTTCCTGAAGAGAGTCAAAGAAATCGTTCTTTGCATCGCGACTGGACCGGAAAGTCGGTGCGTAGCACACCACGACGTGGACCCAAATGTCACCGAACTTTAGCTTGCAGCGTGCGACACGCGATGAGACAGCAGACCACTGATTTCCCCCTGCTACGAACGCTTGCTGTGCGCGTCCGCGTAGTACGACTCCAACTCCTTCGCCTCGTTTGAAATCGTCCGTTGGGATGGCGCGACCTGACGTGAGAACAATTGCATCCTCGACACGGAATATATCTTTACCAAACCACTTCGACTCCTGGAATCCAGCCACTTCTATTTCGTACCGACGAAGTTCACTGACAACGATGTTGATTTTCTTGTCTTCCACGACGCGCTTTCCACGAGCAGCAGTTGAAACCGGGCCATCGATGTTCACTAAAGTCCTGACGTTCCACGAAGCAAATTTGACAAGAGCACCAGCTGGGCGCCTCCGACGGGTGCCTCCAAACTCTGGCTGCTTTGAAGCTGAAACTCTACACATCCGAGGGGTAGCTAGCCCACTGCGGATGGAGGACTACGGACGACGCGACAGTGACAATATCAAATTCAAATAATTGTCCTGTAAGTCACGTCGTTGGATCCGCTGCCCTAAATTCAAAAGGTCTACACTTGACACGCCAGGGGCTCTCCTAGCAAGCTAGGAGAGCCCTGAGTGTACCTACGCTGCTTCGGAGGCTCTAACTAGTCTCAGCAAATAGAAAAATTCCGGAGCTAGAAAAATTCAAACTGTCCCCCAAGAAGACAGTCCACACACGCACACACACACACACACATACATACACACAAACACACACAGTCGGACGACAGCATGGACACCACACATGCACACAAACACCCCTCCCCCCCCCCTTCCTTCCTCCCCCCCCCCCCCACAGACACATAATATTATGTTGACCTTTACCATAACAAACCCCACCCAAACGTATGACACATTCACGAAGCCATCTTGCATTTGTCACTCATGCTCTCTGGGACTAGAATATTGTAAAGAGGAAATGAATAGATTTGTTTTACGCAGAGTCGAGATGAAAGACAATAGTATATCGGTTCAAATGAGATAAGCCAAACTCGCCGGCAAAAGGCTCTGTTCCCATAGTAACCAGCACACTCATCAAACCGCGTGAATCCCTGGCCCCCGCCAACACACTCCGGCATGGCATAGCAACAAGAGATGGACAGTGTCAAACCTCCCGAGTTGCTAACAATACACGGCAAGAATCGAGAACGACGAGGCTAGGTCAGCTTAGCACAGTGCTGACCGGAGAAATACAACCTCAGGGGTGTCGAACACGGTACGGTCACTACGGCATTGACCGTACCAGTTTTTGCCCCAGGTACCCCGTGAATCAATAAGTACTGGATCTAAATTTCCAAAATGTTCGGCTCAGCCACCACTCACTACCCCGCAAGTAAATTGTACTTCAGATGGCTGACCGTACCACACTAAATTACCTTCCGACGCCCCTGAATCTCTTGAATAAAGTAGCGCCGCGTTCGATTGCACAGACCAGTATGTGTAGTGCTAGGGCTGCGTAGCTCCAGGTGCTATATTGTTCATGAGGTTGGATTTCTTGGGCCAGCACTGCACAAGGCAGAGGAGAGAGCAGTGTGCTTCTGCCCGTTTTGTTATCGTTCTCTATTTCCACGGTGGCAGGGGCGTAGGAGGAGTTTTGGAAGCGGTACAGCTGAAGGTCGGCATGGCCGAAGGCCGTTTTGGAGGGGGGTCCGGGGGACGTCCCCCGGAGAATCTTTGTAAAAAGACACAAAATCCTGCATTCTGGGAACTTCTGGCACAGTTTATAAAGTCATAATTTCACGGTCAGAAGAGACGTGACATGCACAGATGCATGGCAGATCTACGAGTACGAGTCTAGAAAAAGGTCAAAGTCTGAAGCGCATATGCGCATACATGTATGCATCGATGAATCCTGATTTTTTTATTATTGTTTTGCATGTTCCGGACGGACCACACTTTTCGAAAAGTGGTACGGCCATGGTCGTACCAGTCGTAGCGGGTGCTACGCCCCTGGGTGGCCTATGGCCAATAAGTAGCGGTGAAACGATTAGTTCGAATATTCGAGTATTCGTTCGAAAATTTCAAACGAGCGAGTATTCGAAATTTTGCACTCGATCGTTTTTTTATTTTATTTTATTTTTTTAGGATTGGCATTGTATTTTTTTTAAAACTTTTGTTGTACCGCTGGTCCACTGGTATGCATGCGTTATGCATGGCTTTGAGTCAGTATTTTAAGACTTGGACGATGCGATCACCACGGCAAGTAACATTCTGAGATATGAAAGTACTGATGAAAATCGTTACTTTACACTCTGTACAAGACGTTGGCGACTTTTGTTCTATGTTCACAGATAATTTCTTCCGAATTGGTCGAGAACTTGCAAATCTAGCGCTTTTGAATTTTGATAAAATACTCGAAATAATATGATTCAAATCAGTCCACAATCAAAATCAGTCTAGCAAGTAAGGAAGCCAACAGATTGCAGAGGGATGGGGTTACAATGGGGTACAGTGTGAGCTACGTCAAGAGCATATGGATGACAGAATGAGGCTAGGCGCCATTGATTTAAACGCATGCTTCCTATTTGCTTCAAGCAGGTCGAGGGGTAGTTGGTTGAAACTGTGAAGGGATAGGTTGATGGGTGAGTTGGTGTGACGGTATGTGTGTGATATGCTCAATATGTAAGTTCTGATGTGTGGTAGTGCATATGGCTGCTCTGCAATTGCGCTTGACGCCAGCACTACTACTGTCGTGGACTTGGCAATCCGGTCGGAGGTCAAGCGGGCCCAGGGCGCTGGCCATGCAGCCGTGAGTGCGCATACGGATCAACATGTGCACTGTGCATGCAACGTTCTGTACGCACGGAGAGCGTGGGCCATTCGACCGGATTTCCATGTCCGTGACAGTATGTACGTCTTCACGAAAACTACACCAGGGATAACTACTGGGCATCTTCCAGTTCTCGATCACTAAATTAGGCATGACACGCCAAAAGACGGTACAGGTATAGCACACTCAC